GTAGTGGTGGCCAAAGTTCCGGCAAAACCCAGAGAAAACATTTCTTTCCCAATTTCTGTCTCCCGCGTGCCCCTCTCACCACACTGGTCTCTCGGTTTCTAAAAGAAGCTATAAATTGCATGTTTTTACACTGTTGGGCTTGGGAGGAGTAAGGGAGGGAGAGATGGGATGGAAAAGATACGATTTAAGAGTTTTCGGCTTGTCAGTGTTCCCAGGACAGCTACTTAGCATATTGAACTCTGCCTACCTGCTCCGTCATATTTCGAAACACCAAGAAATCCCCCTTTCTCCACCTCAAGATCAGGAACTGAAACAGTCCCCTGAGTCGCAACGCACAGAATTCAAGGAGACGCAAGCTTTGTTCTCTTCCTCCCCCCTTTTTTTTTTTCCTTCATGCCTGTTTCGTCCAATTTTCCCTGGTTTTACCGTTTCAAGGTCGCCCAAAAGGGAATCCACGTTTGGAGGCAGCTGACCGTTCTACTCTTGTGCTCATAGATATTTTCTTTTTTTTTTTTTTTTTCCTTCCTTTGCAACATAAATTGAGGACATTAACCCTACTTTGTCATGCTGCAAACATCTTTCCATTGGGCCTACCAATGGCTCTGAAGCCTCGCATTCCCCCCCTCAAGTTCCCCTTCCTTAAGCCTCCATCGCCGTGCTCCCGGGTCATGCCCCTTCTCCTACCTACCCCCCCCCCAACACCACCACCACCTTTCCCTCCTTCTTGACTGCCTCCTTTTCTGAACGTGAATAATTCCGCAGCACTTCCCGTCTGTTATTGCCATAGAGACAGAAGCTCGGCAAAGATAATGATGTTCTGTGCAGAGCCAGTGGGGGGAGAACAGCATCTGTGAGTCTGGGGGGATAGATTTTCTAACCTCGCGAATATTCAGAAGGCCTGACTGAAGATCTGACGGGGAAGACTGGACGGAACTGAGACTTGGCACCGGGTCAACTCTCGGCACCTGGCTCATGTGTCTAGCAAGAAGAAACAATTTTTAGAAACCAAGATGACAGATTTAAAAAGGACAAAAAAAGTGATTGCAAAACTGCAATTAATGATCAATGTTTAGTAGTCGTTTTTATTAGTCATAAGAACAATTCCTTGCCAAAGGCCTAAGGACCAAAATAAATTGGACAGTAAACAGACTTTTGAGAAATCAAACATTATTCTCCTCCCCCTTTCTTTTGGTTTGCTTTCCCTAGGAATCTGTTTTTGAGAGAAGGCTCTTTTGTGAGTGTGATTTTATGTGCAACGGCTTGAGAAATAGTGAAGGGCAGATGTGGATAGAAGTAAGCAATCTTTGGGGGCTTTTTTTTTTTCACTGTTTGTCAAAGTACAAAATGTACCAAATTAAAATTCACTTTGCCCTTGAATTCCCAAGGTCTTGGCCCCAAAGGTACAGGTTTGAATACAACTGAAACTGAGCAGAATGCATTTACACAGGGCTGATGCAGATGTGGAGCCTCACACTTAGCTTTGCAGGCCTACTTAAGGATTTTTGAAACTTATCAGTGAAACGGATTGTATAATAAGAAATTAAAAAGCACTGAAAATAAATGATAATGGCTCTTTATCCTGGAAAAAGAATTTAACCAACACAGAGAACACAGGCCTTAGAAAAAATCAACACTGTGAGATAATGAACGTTGTAATTCCCACATACTGATCAGTGGTGAAAAGTCAACTTAAGTATTGTCAGTAAATAGCTGTTAGGTGGATTTCCACTGGCCTCCTACGTCACCTTCTTGGCAGCCAGCAGGAGCTAAGCAAGGCCATTGTAAAACTGTGTGCCTGTGGCTGTGTAAAAATTCCAAATGACTGGGGGGATTTTGTCTTCCTCCATACGCAGTACAGATAGAAGGTCCAAAGTAACTGGTAGTAGGTGGTCTAGAATTTCTTCTTCAGAAGTTATGGCCTTCTGGTAATAATATCAAGTAATAATTGTTGTTGGTAGCTGCCGTCTGAGTCGGCCTGACCCCTGGTGGTCCTATGTACAACGGAATGAAATGTTACCCCATCCTGCGCTGATGTCCAGCCCTACACCACCTTGGTCGGTTGCAGATTGGACAGTTGTGACCCATAGAGTTTTTATTAGCTGATTTTCTGAAGTAGATGTCCAGGCCTTTCCTCCTAGTCCATCTTAGTCTGGAAGTTCTGCTAAAACATGTTCAGTATCACGCGAATGAGGTGCATTGCCTGGGAACTGAACCTGAGTCTCCTGCATAGAAGGCAAGAATTTTACCACTGAACCACCGTTGCCCCCTCTGGGCAAATTCTGTTGTTGTTAGGTGCCTTTGAGTCGGTTCTGACTCATAGTGACCCTATGTACAACAGAACGAAACACTGCCCTGTACTGCGCCGTCCTCACCATTGTTCTTATGCAGCTGTGTCTTCTCATTTTGAGTCATGCCGTGTCAGCAAATGAAGTTCCCGGAAGCTTGACTTTAAGGTCGTCCACGTCATTAAGGTCGACTCTACTTTGAGGAGGCAGCTCTTCCCCAGTCATCTTTTGAGTGACTTCCAACTTGAGGGGCTCATCTTCTGGCACTATATCAGACAATCTTCCACTGCTATTCATAAGGTTCTCACTGGCTAATTCTTTTCAGAAGTAGACCGCCAGATCCTTCTTCCTAGTCTTAGTCTGGAAGCTCAGCTGAAACCTGTCCGCCATGGGTTACCCTGCTGGTATTTGAATTCTGGTGGCATAGCTTCCAGCATCAGAGCAACATGCAAGCTCCCAGAGTATGACAAACTGACAGATGCATGGGGGCTGGTAATAATAGAAATCACGAATTTAAAGGTATAAATTTTAAGGCCAGTTCTGCTCTGTGACCTGATAAATATTTGGGGCAAATCCTTTCCTTTTGTCTCCATTTAATGATTGACTGATGTTGTTGTTGTATGCTGTCCAGTTGATTCCGACTCGTAGCGACCCTATAGGACAAAGTAGAACTGCCCTATAGGGTTTTCTAGGGAAGCAGCTCTGTTGGCGTAGTGATTAAGTGCTGGGCTGCTAACCAATAGATCAGTGGTTCACACCCACTAGCTGCTCCATGGGAGCATCTGTAAAGATTGGTGGTTGTTGTTGTTAGTTGCCCTCGAGTCGATTACGACTCATAGCAACTCTATACACAACGGAAGGAAACACTGCGCAGTCCTGTACCATCCTCACAACCTTCGCTATGTTTGAGCACATTATTGCAGCCACTATGTCAGTCCATCTTGTTGAGTGTCTTCCTCTTTTTGATGACCGTCTACCAAATATGGATGTGCTTCTCCAGGGACTGAGCCTCCTTGATAACATGTCCAAAGTAAGCAAGACAAAGTCTCACTATCCTCACTTCTAAGGAGCATTCTGGGTATACTGCTCCCAAGACAGATTTGTTCATTCTTCTGGCAGTCCACGGTATATTCAGTATTCTTCACCAATGCCGTAATTCAAATTCTTCAATGTTCTTCAGTCTTCCTTATTCATTGTCCAGCTTTCACATGCGTATGAGGCGATTGAAAATAGCATGGCTTCGGTCAGGTGCACCTTAGTCCTCAAGGTGACGTCTTTGCTTTTTAACACTTTTAAGAGG